TGTACAACACTATATTCCTGCTATGTGTCTGTACACTGTAAATATGTACAACACTATATTCCTGCTATGTCTGTACACTGTAAATATGTACAACACTATATTCCTGCTATGTGTCTGTACACTGTAAATATGTACAACACTATATTCCTGCTATGTGTCTGTACACTGTAAATATGTACAACACTATATTCCTGCTATGTGTCTGTACACTGTAAATATGTACAACACTATATTCCTGCTATGTGTCTGTATGTGTCTGTACTGTAAATATGTACAACACTATATTCCTGTGTCTATACACTGTAAATCTGTACACTGTAAATATGTACAACACTATGTACATATTCCTGCTATGTGTCTGTACACTGTAAATATGTACAACACTATATTCCTGCTATGTGTCTGTACACTGTAAATATGTAATATTCCTGCTATGTGTCACAGGAAATATCTGAGAGAAACAAATAAAGGGATCTTTAATATTTTCCAGTTTTTCAGTTTACCAGCTTTGAATAGCGCTGTGGCGATGAAAACTGGAAAATAAGAAGGGAACACTTGCATTTTCCTGTGATTCTTTTCTCTCAGTATATATACAACATTATATTTGTGCTGTGTCTGTACACTGTAAACATGCAACATGTCTGTCATGACTGTGGACTGTAATTCATTCAAGTCTGCACGAGACAAATCAGTGGCTGATATTGAGAATGACTACCCCATGTCACCTTTTCATAGCAGGAACAGGAGTTCATTGTTTTACCCTGGATACTAGGCCTTTGTTGCAGTGCGGTGATTATTACCATCATTGTCTTTGTTGCCGTAATCACTGTGGTTTGCCTTTAGTACAACCACTGTGTTTTGTACTGCCACTGCAATACCTTTGTTGGGATATGTATTATTGGTAAACTTTGATAATGTTAGAATACCATTGTTAATTACATCTTAACTCTTTGTTGTTTGCTCGATTCATACTGACTTCTTTTACAGACTGACTTTCGGTCAACTTTTAGTTTCAGCTTGGGAATCAACAACACATAACAATGGACCAATCAGATGCCAGCTTACTAAAATGAATCAGCAGCATTTTCTCAACATCTAAAAGTTAAAATTTAGAAATTTACAGCAGAAACTGGAGTGAGTGCGGATGGTTTTTACGCCACTTTTAGCAATTTTCCATCAATATCACGGCAGTGGACAATACCCTTCAAAGGTACAATATTTTGGTTGTAGATGCACCAGTGCCCAGACACCACAGGATGACTAAAATAGACACAATGAGTGACATAATAATGCAAACAAGATGACAGGCTCAGTTCTCAAGCTACAAAAAAGGGACAAGGAGCTTAGATCAATGGTAATGTCAGAACAGCTGACTCAGCAAATGTATTTACATAGAAAGCCTGTTGGTCATATGTACATGTCACTCTTCCCCCACTATTATATTATTGTTCAGCAACGTGGTACAGGAAACATCTCCCTCACACTGGAGTGCTCATATCGCCTATGTCTTGCTCATCCCTCTCTAGAAAGGAGGAAGAGCACTTTATGTTCATAATTGTCATCAAGCACGTTGTTAACCCTACTGACTGAAGCATACATAAGATGGGCTGGGTAGTCATCTCTTCGTCAACACTGACTTTAATACTGACATTTCTACAACACAATTTGAACACAGCCAACGCCTATATCCATGACAGTCAGTGCTAGAAATGAAGTGTGTCCTTCAAGTTTTCAGTGATAAAGGGAAGCACTTGAATGAAAGGACCTCCCAAAACAGTGCTTAATACATAAGGGTTATGCCATGGACCCCTTAAGTAACTTATATTTTCTATTTTGAACAGTTTTATCTCATTGTATTACAATAATGACATGAATTGTTCAACTATTGCCATGGTTGAAGATCTCTCTTATTACCAGGTTAAATCTTTGATTCAAACCCATTCAGCAGATCCTGAGTGTTGCCATGCTCCCTTGAATCTAATATTTGACAGTATGATAGTTACATAATACTATCCCATTATAAAATCTTGGCAAACTCCCAAATGTTTCATTTAGTTACCATTTCATGAGAACAAATGCAAATAATGTCTGTGAATATGCTCTGTCTGATCATGCTGATCTGGCATGATATTTAATATCAACATGACAATTACCTGCCAGCTGTATAGAATGTAATTATTGTAGTAAATTCCAATTTCAAAATTTATCAGAGTTCTTACAACATTCTCTTAAAAGGAAAAGGATAGTAATCTGTTAATAAATCATATTCTGCTAAGCTTTGCAATGCAAATACATCCACTGGAAAAACTTACAAAAGTAAAAGGTCCGGAAATTTGTTAATCACAGTTGTGTATTTGTACATAACATTAAAATTATTTGTTTCAATAAAAAAAATTAATCCCAACATAATGATGTCATGATTAATTCCGCTAGTAATGATTCATTGATAAAACACAATTACATGGATTGATACTAAAGCAATGTCCATTCAAAATACTGCAAATCACATTCACGATACATTTCATAGTCTCTGCTTCAAGTCACCCAGCGGGCGGTGGGGTAGCCTAGTGGTTAAAGCGTTGGCTCGTCACGCCGAAGGCCCGGGTTCGATTCCCCACATGGGCACAATGTGTTAAGCCCATTTCTGGTGTCCCCCGCCGTGATATTGCTGGAATATTGCTAGAAGCGGCGTAAAACTAAACTCAGTCAGTCAGTCAGTCAAGTCACCCAGCACAACCATTATCAGTGATTATGAACTGTTATGTTGGGGTAACAACAACTTTAACATGAAAGAAACACGATACATGCATTTCAACATTAGTCGGATCTAATGTGATCCTACTCGTCACTGAAGGAGTCAATATATTGAAAACAGATTACAGCAAGTAGAGACTTACAACCTGTAAAGGACCCTTCACATGCTAACTCCAGCAGGAAGACCTACATGGGCGGTGATCAACATATAGTGAAGATTTTGACACTATTCAATGCAGATGTTGTGACAGTTAACACAGAATCAATAACAACCATGTCAGTTCTTAAGCTTCTGACACAGTGAGCTTGTCAGTGTAGATAGATGGTACACTCACCTAAATGTCAATTACATATACATATTTTTTTAGGTACATTTAATGGCCATCTCATATTGTGGAATTTTCACTTACTCTTTACTCATAATTATATAATATGGCTTTCCTACACAGAGCATGAAACACACAATACCCATGACAGTTAACACCAGTGTTGAATAGGTAGTTGACAGCTGACAGTGGGTGCCCACAGGGAATGTCACACAGTCTGTCGAGGGTAAGCGGTATACAGAGAACTAGATGGGTTTCAGGGCAGACAGGGGTTACCCGGTTTTAACATTATTCAGCCTATCAAATATACTACCCATCAAAAGTTTAGACTCACTTAAAACACTCACTATATGTTATGTATATATTTATATATTATATGGTTAGATCGAAGATTGATTTCTCCACTAACATGGGGGGAACCAACTGCAAACCTTATGTAGATGAACTGCACGAGAATCATGCATCAAATTGCGGAATAGCTTGTGCAAATATCATGCATGTAAACAGCTTCGATTTGGTGTAAAGTTTTGTTAAGAATTCGCCAGTTTTCACTATTTTTATCATTTATTAAACTTATGACAATAATCTATTCAACGTTACGAATTTGTTTTACAATACATTAGTTCATGTGTAAACAGTACCTTTAAACAGTATGGAATATTTTGTAAAATTTAGTTCAGAACAGTTGCCTGAAGTAAGTGGCTATATTTACACTAGTGAGTCTAACCTTTGATGGGAAGTATATTTAAGGTTATTGTGCATCATTGAATATGTCAAAGTATAAGAACTAGGAATAGAGCAACTAGAGATTTGAATCAAGTCATATTTACAAAAATTCACTAATGAAATACTAGTTTATGTTTTATAGGTGGCTCTGACTAAGGCATGAATGCACTCCCAATCACAATACAATGCATAAGTTTGACTCCGCTGTCCACTACTTACTGGAACATGTACATACACCCCTGATGCAAGCTTGTTTGTGTTGGAAGGAAATATGATCTACGCCCTACACTTAAAAAGACAGAGGATTAAATATGTTGAACAATTCCTGTACTGTAAGCAAAAAGTATATACCATGAAGCAATTGAGGTAGTTGAAGAATCTAAATTATATCACAAAACATTTAATACACAGAAGCATTCCATCTTGTTTCACACATAAACATATTGTGCATATAATTGAAATAATCCTTGAGGTGCCTTGATTCAAAATGTTCCTCCCAGTCCAATAGAACATTCCATGACATAACAGTTCAGGAAAAAATACCTTGTAATTATATCAATTTAATGCATGAAAACTCAACAAAATAACTAACTAATCTGCAGTGACAAAACTGTCAACAACAAATCATGTAGAGAGTTACCTTGTCAGCTAAACCATTTCAAATATATCCTCATGTATCCTCCAAAACAAACAATATTCACTTCACATTCAAGTTTCAGGCAAAACGTCTGTAACACAAACTGTTGTATAATACTGGGTGGTTTTCATACATCTACATGTTTTCATGTTTTGTAGCACACAACATAAATTCTAACCAACGATCGTGGCTGCACAATAAGGTGAGATTTGAACAGGGCGGTGTATGATTCATACATAAACAATGTGAAGTGGCCACGCACTTCTTATTTCGGAACATCCAGCTACAAACATTATACCCCATTATACGTGTCTAATGTCATTTGTAAACAAATCAGTGCTTCCGTCAAAGTGCTCAGCAATGTAACGTCTCTGTCGTCCGTCTTCCCCTAATCCTACAATTTCAAGTTCAAAGCCAAGTTGTTATGATCTTAATTTTCTACAAATCGATGTACAAGGAACATACTGGAAAATTAGCTATAGACACATTGAGGGATTTCTAGTCCGTGCCTGTCTCGCCTCATGGGATTCTACATAAAATAAATGAGCTGCCATTACCTTACTACACTCACTAATCCAAATCCTCTCCCGTTGGTAATTAGACATCCGCCATGTTTAACTTCCCGTCCACGTCCGCGCATGTGCAGTGAAGGCGGACTAAAGATGCTCTGTGCGGGAAATTTAAAGTACCTATGAGGGCTAAGAGATTTTGACACTGAGTGTGAGTTGTAAACTTCATATTTTTCGGAATGGAAGGTGTGTATGAGCAGCCCCTTTCACAAATAACCAGACAGTTCAGCAACAACAGGATAAATTCAAAGATTAAAAAAGGCGTTGTAAGACTTGAGTGATCAACACCAAGACCACACTCCGGCACAGCGATGACATAACATCACTGCCACAGGCTAATTTGCATATCACATGACCGGACTTTTCTCTTGTTTGTAATCAAACGCGCATATTCATAATAAGAAGAGACTGGACTCACGAAAGATTTTCGGCGCTCTCTTCATAATGTTTTACATTGTTACATATATATTCTTCCACAACTGCGACAGTAAGGTCTATGACAGTACATATTTAGATATTAAACTGGCTGCATCGTTTGCTCTCCATCAGCTTCGATGACAGCACGTGGAGCCGTACAACCTATGTAAACAAAGGATCACTACGCAAATCGAAATAGTGTTACATGTTTTTGGATATTTTCTCAGTGAAACTAAACCATTCTATTAAAGATGTTTAGTTAGATGTGTAGACTCGTCAAAAATAAAAGAGTTAAAGAAATCTGTACATTATATTGAATGGACATTGCAAGATTTGACGAATCGTCACATTTGTCTGGCCTGTGGCAGAGTAAGCTGGTTCCTGGCTCCCTTTGCGCGCGCTAACGTTCGACAAAGCTAGGCGTATATTGCGATATGCGAGACGGGGCCCAGCTTAGTGGCAGAGATACTATGCTGGCTTGCCGCATGGAACTCTGGGTAGGAGAGTGCACCAAGACCCATCGTTTCCTATTCATCAGGTAAAACTCATTTCCAACGTATGGTGAGTAGAGCTGTAACGATGCATCTATCGATGGATTGCAATTGTTGAGTCTCAGATAGCAAGTAATCGATGGTAGAAACGGAAAACTATCGATGCATCGATAGTATGCGTGGCTATCTAATGACTCTATTTTTATTTACTATTATGCTGTTTTATAAATAAAAATATTGTTTGGGTGCAGACTTGCAACTTCATTGAGTTTATGTCTTAACTGTTTACTTGATCTGGGTTTCAAGTTTCTTGTTAGCTATTAAAGGAGACTGAAACTACTACAACTTGTTTTTATTTCATTTGGGAAATGAATTCAAATGAGACAATTCAAGGAGAGAAAAAAACACTGCAATAGTTGGTCGCAATAGTATGTTGCAATCGACTATCGCTATCGCAATAGTTGTTTCCCCTCAATAGTCACCCCTAATGGTGAGTGTATTGTGAGTAGTAAATACCCAGCACACATCACGTAACTGGGCCAGTACTGGCATCGTTCTGGCCTGTACCGTTGGTACTGGCATTATGTACGACAGTATAGATCCAGTAATGGACCAACATCAAAACTGTACTGGGCCACATATGGGTGGTTACCGTAAATACTGCACCGCAATACTGTACCGGCCCAGTACTGACCCAGTACAGACAGTGCACTTCCTGTCTGCATGGTGAATTGTGGGGGATTATCTCATGACCATGTCGTCTGCTCAAGAGAGGCGGACAAAAGGTAGAGTGTGACATTTTCCACAATTCTGAATGTAGATTGACTTAATGTGACACTAAAAAGTAACGGTATTTGTTGTGAAAAACTTATAGAAACTACTTTTTCAACTAAGGTTAAGTGTTGGGCTAAATTTTGAACAATAACATGCAGTATGAATTTCGCTGGAACAAGGGTAGTTTGAAACATTCAGGATGTATGTCATGTTGTTAGATCAAGGAAAGCCTGCTGACATGCCTCATTCAAAAACATAAATTCAATATATGGCCTAGATTATAGTATTGTTTGATAATCATGTCAGCACTTTAGTAACCTCTTTGACCCTGAAACAGATTGCACACAGGTTTATATACATGTTCGAACATTTCTTGAAAACCATGATGTTGTTAATTGTGAACAATGTAGAGACTGTGACGATATCTTGGGTGACGAGATCTCAAAGGATGAAATCTTGAATGCACTTAAGAATCTTAAAAATGGTAAATCTCCCTGGGCTGATGGTATTCCGACGGAGGCCATTAAGGAAACTTGTTTGATATTATTACCTTTTTATAAACGTCTTTTCAACGAGATTTTCAACACTGGTAATTTTCCAGACTCTTGGAACCTTGGTCTTATCGTTGCGTTATATAAAGCTGGGGATAGAGAGGATCCCAATAACTACAGAGGTATTGCTCTACTTGATATAATTAGCAAAGTATTCACAAGTATTCTAGATACACGTATAAAACTTTGGGCTTCAACACAGGATATCATTTCCGAGTCGCAAGCAGGGTTTAGAGAAGACTACAGTACTATTGACCAAATTTTTGTTCTAAATTCGATTATCCACAAGTACATAAGGAAAAAACGTGGAAAATGTTACTGTATTTTTGTTGATTTTAAAAAAGCTTTTGATACCGTTGACAGAAACAAGCTCCTATATATACTTCTCAACAATGGTCTACATGGTAAAATTAGCACTGTTTTACGTTCAATGTATACTCATGCAAAAGCAGCTGTTAGATGTACGAAGTACAGTATGACTGAAATATTTAACCCAGTGACTGGAGTACGACAAGGTTGTATCTTATCTCCAGTCCTATTTATTATGTACATTGATGAACCAGTTAACGACATCATAAACAGCGACTATAGTGGCGCTTTTATTGATGAGACTATAAATGCACTGTCAATTCTTCTGTTTGCGGATGATGTCGCTATATTTGGAGACAGCGTTGTGAACCTACAGAAAAAGATAGATATCTTAGAACAGTATTGTACGAAATGGGGATTGTCAATAAATACAAATAAGACAAAGGTCATAGTTTTTAAAAAAGGTGGTAGAATAGCAGAAAGAGAAAAATGGTCAATTGGAACAGAGAAACTAGAAACTGTCTCCTATTATAAGTATCTGGGATTAACGTTATCCTGTAGAAATGTATTCACAAACGCTTGTGGTGTTTTGTGTAAGCAAGCAGAGAAAGCATTATTTCCTATTAAGAAATTCATGTACAGATATAAAACAATTCCGTTCGATATATTTTTCAAAATCTTTGACTGTAAAATACAACCTATATTATTATATGGAGCAGAAATTTGGGGAACTGTTATCCGCCATGGAATAGAAAAAGTACATTCAAAATTTTGTAAAAACGTTCTAAACGTTAGCTATCGCACATCGAACAAGGCAGTTTTAGCAGAATGTGGGAGATACCCTTTACATGTAAATTATATGACACGGGTTGTTTCGTTCTGGATACGTCTGCTTCAGCAACCAGGCACACGTTACCCACGTCGCGCGTATGATATGTTGAAACGTTTAGACGACAATGGAGATATTAACTGGGCTTCGGCAGTACGATCAATATTATTTCAACATGGATTTGCTTATGTATGGATATATCAAAATGTGGGAAACTGGAAATTGTTTTTAAATCTTTTCAAACAACGTTGTAAAGACATGTACTATCAAGAATGGATACAAGATATAAGAAACTCAAAATCATTACATATGTATTCTGCCTTTAAATCTGATATTGTTCCGGAATTGTATTTGATCGCACTCTCTTCGTTACATCTGCGCAGAGTCTTAACAAATTTCAGATGCGGCTCCACCAATTTAAAAATAGTTTCGTACAGAAGATCTAAAGACAATGACATTAGTGTAGGTATGTGCGATTATTGTAAAAATGTACCAGAAGATGAGTATCATGTGTTAATGAAATGTCCTTTATATGCAGCGGTAAGAATTACTACATACCAAGTATATATATGAACCCAAATGAACAAAAATTTGTACATCTTCTAAATACTAAGAACCATAATATAATACTCCGTCTAGCAATTTTTGTAAACAAAATCATGTCCATGCGCTCTGTAAAAATTTAATCTAAGTTGTCATTTTGTACTATTGGCCTCATGGCCACATCTATGAAATAAACCTGTCTGTCTGTCTGTCTGTCTGTCTGTCTGTCATACTGGACAACACGTCGGAAAGATTGAATAGTAAATGAAAATTTGAAATGAATTTTGAAACTTCTGTTGAACAAGCTCATCCAGAAGGACAATGAACTCTGAATCAATGAAAGAACGACGCATCATGTTTTCATCTTGTTTCATGAATTAAACTCATTTGGATAAACTCGTGTGTTCATGTTGTTGTTTTTTCATTTTGGTATCAGCTGTTTTATTTAGTAGAAACTGTGTTAAACTTAACCGGGCCAGTGCCGACCAAACTGTAAAGGGCCAATTTGCAACCGTTGCGGCTGTGTACTGGGCCATACTATACTTTGCCTGTACTGGTCCAGTTCAACGTCAATATGCAAAATAGTATACAGGCCCAGTTCCGGAATGCCTAAAATGGGCCTGATTTCTGACTTTACTGGGCCAGTAATGGCCCAGTTTCGTGATGTTAACTGGGTAGAATCATAGCTGAATGATACGATGGCAGATGACACAAACAAACATGGACTTGACTCTGATCTGGAATATAAGACTGCGCAAGCGTGAAAATTATAAACTATAATATATTACGACTGGATGTCATGGTAAATGTACAATCTGTTAAGAAGTATGTATGGATCTGTAAAAGCAGGTATAAAAGTTGGTTGCTCTAAAACTTCCCTCTAAGCACCTCTAGTAGGTGAAGATCTGATGTTACTCTTATTTGCCGATGACATTCAGACATTGTGCTTTTCTCGTATACTGTTCGGGGCGTACAGGGAATGCTAGATGTTTTCAATACGTTTTGTTCGAAATGTGGGGATTTTGTGTAAATCTTGATAAAACAAACGTTATTGTATTTAGAAATGTAGGAATGATATATCAGTGTGAATCACGGGCGCTGGATAATGTGAAGATGAACTCGGTAATTTACTATAAATATCTTGGAATTATGTTTTCCTCACGGTTAATGT